GAGCTCGAGCAGCGGGTTATCCTGTCTGATCTGCAGATTCGGGTACACTGGGGTCAGCACTGGGTAGGGAGCTATTTAGGGGAGGGTTTTGGTTTCGTTTAACTTTTTGTTTTGATTTGTGTGTGTGTGTGTGTGTGTGTGTGTGTGTGTGTGTGTGTGTGTGTGTGTGTGTGTATGTTTTGCTTGCATGTCTACATGGTATGTGTGTGCAGTACTCTCAGACCAAAAGGGTCAGATCCTCTGGAACTGGGCCTTGTAGACTGTTGTGAGCCCCATGTTGTGGGTGCTGGGAACTGAATATGGGTCCTCTGGAAGAGCAGCCCGCACTCCTAACTGCTGTGCCCTCTCTCCGGCCCTAGGTTCTGGTTTTTGAAACAAGGTCTCTGTAGTTGAGACCTGCCTGGGATTCAAGGCATTTTTCCTGCCTCAGCTGTCCAGGCTCTGGGATTGCTGACAGGAGCCACTACGCCCGGCTGTGGGTGGGTGTCAGGAAAAGCCCTTGGTTTCTTCTTCCCGAGTGACTTACAATGTGTGTTGTTCCTCTTTCCCACTGGAAGGGTTGGACGTGCCCTGGCCCAGACTCTACCCGAGAAGACTTGACCTACTGTGAGCATCTGCCTGACTCTCCGGAGGATATCCCTTGGAGAGGACGGGGCAGAGAAGGGGTTGTACCTCAGCGGCAGAACACCAACCCTCTGGACCTGGCTGTGATGCGACTCGCTGCTCTGGAACAGAATGTGGAGCGGCGTTACTTGCGGGAGCCCCTCTGGGCAGCCCAGGAGGTGGTGGTGGAGAAGGCCCTGCTGACCACCCCCAATGGTGCCCCTGATGGCGCCACTACTGAGATGTGAGTGACTCCTGCTGCCAGTCTCCTGGCCTGGGAGAGAGAGGACAAAGGTCTTCCTGTTCCTCACCCTAGATCTCCCCCCAGATCATACGAGATCACCCCTCGTGTCCGTGTCTGGCGGCAGACGCTTGAGAGGTGCCGTAGCGCAGCCCAAGTGTGTTTGTGCATGGGCCAGCTGGAGAGGTCCATCGCCTGGGAGAAGTCTGTCAACAAAGTGGTGAGTGTCGGGAAAGCTCAGGCGGTGGGTGGCTTTGGTGAGAGCGGGGTCAGCAATAGGCAGGGGGCTGAGGACTCACTCTGCCTCCTCACAACTTTGGTCTAGACCTGCCTGGTCTGCCGGAAGGGTGACAATGATGAGTTTCTCCTGCTCTGTGATGGGTGTGACCGGGGCTGCCACATTTATTGTCATCGGCCCAAGATGGAGGCTGTCCCAGAAGGAGACTGGTTCTGCACTGTCTGTCTGGCCCAGGTAAGGTTTCCACTGCTTGATTTTCCTTCTCACAGATTTTTTTTTTAAACCACCAGTTCCACAGATGTCCCTGTCCTCAGGCTCTCCCTGGGATGAGCCTCTGACAGCATGTTTGGGTTGAGTCCTTCTTTGAATAACTCATTCTTTAGCCCCAGTCATTTTCTCTATACAATAGTAATAATTATCATTCCTCTCCCTATTGATTACCTGGATGAATTCACATGCTGGCTTATGTGTGACCATTCGAAGCCACAGTTACTTGTAGGCAGGACTCCGATGAACAGGAGGACAAGCAGCACACGCCCACACTGCTGCTCTTACCTTGCCTATCCTCAGCAGGTAGAAGAAGAATTCTCTCAGAGGCCTGGTTTCCCAAAACGAGGCCAGAAGCGGAAAAGTAGTTTTCCACTGAACTTCCCAGAGGGTGACAGCCGCCGACGTCGGGTTCTGTCAAGGAGCCGAGAAAGCCCAGCAGTGTCTCGGTGCCCGGAAGACGGGCTTTCTCCCTCCAAGAGGCGGCGACTTTCAATGAGAGGCCACCACACTGATCTCACATTTTGCGAGTGAGTTAGTGAATCGTAGGGATAGCTGGCTGTGTGTGCCAGGAGGGCTGGAGGAGTCAGTGTGTGCTTCCTGTACTGACAGGATCATCCTAATGGAGATGGAGTCCCATGACGCAGCCTGGCCTTTCCTGGAGCCTGTGAACCCTCGCTTGGTGAGTGGGTACCGGCGAGTCATCAAGAACCCGATGGATTTTTCCACCATGCGAGAACGGCTGCTCCGGGGAGGGTAAGACGATGTCTGTCTGTCTGTCTGTCTCTGTCTGTCTCAGCTCTTAACAGCTCACAACCCGTTTTCCCCTTGGCCCAGGTATACTAGCTCAGAGGAGTTCGCAGCTGATGCCCTTCTGGTTTTTGACAACTGCCAGACCTTCAATGAGGATGACTCTGAAGTGGGCAAGGCTGGGCACATCATGCGCCGCTTCTTCGAGAGCCGCTGGGAGGAATTTTATCAGGGAAAACAGGCCAGTCTGTGAGGCGAGGAAGGTGGAGACCACCTGTGGTGTCTTCTCCAGCCTTCCTGACAAGAACCTGCCACTCTCACCTGCTGCCCCCCGCCCCCGGGTGGACGCATCCGACAGTGCTGATGCCTGCCTCTGCCCCGGGCAGCACCACACCCTCTTGTCCCAGTTCTTTCCTCCCTTCCTCCTTTTGCTCCTCAAAGAAGAGATGCAGAGATGAGGTCCTTCTGGACGGAAAGCCAAAAAAGAAAAGAATTTTTCCTGGTTTTTTTTTTTTTTTTTTTTTTTAAACTAATTAAAATGGAGAGGGGTAAAGAAGTCCCTTCCTCTTCCTGGCTTCCTCCCCTCCCTGTACACGCCCCAGCATCCTGGGGCTATTTAACAATAGCAATAGTTCTAGTGAATGTGTGAAACCGAGAAACACTCTGTACTGTGTGTGGACCCGCAGTGACGGCCAGTAAAGTGGACTTAACTCCCAAGTGTGTCAGCCGGACACCGGGCCCTGAACATGCTGCTTCCATGTTCAGCCCCTTCCCTGCCTCCTCCTGCTTTCTCTCACCTTCTCTTCTCCCCTTTCTCCCTAGTTTGACGATTTTTGTCCCACCCAATAATGTAAACTATCGTGTACGGGTTCTTCTTTCCCCTTGTGTGGAGAACAAAGTTCCAAGCTCCCTGCCGCTGCCCTCCTCTTCCTGCCAATAGTTACCCTCTAAAATGTCCGCTCCTCCTCATGTGCTGAGTTTCTAGCCTTTCCTGAAACTCTGTGACTGGGGTGTGAGCAGGCGGGCAGGCGGGTGCCCTGGGCCTTCCAGCCTTCTTCCCCGCTTCCCAAACCTCCCTCTTGGGAACTCCTCAGGGACAACTACTGCTGAGTCTGAGTGCTGCTCCGAGATGGAAGCCCTCAGAGAGAGGGGGAGAGGTTGTGTGTGTGTGTGTGTGTGTGTGTGATGAGAGCTGTGATCGTGACCCTGTTTTGTGTAATGGGATCCATTCATGTTTCCTCGTATGTTTTGTTCTTGCCTTTCCCATTGTTTCATACCTTCACTTTTTGTCTTCGGGAAAACACAGGAACTATTTCTCTGGGGACAGTGCTGTCTCTCCTCATGGTTATTTCTGTTCCAGCCTCTTCAAACTGTGCAATCTTTTCAGCAGGAACTCCCTCTCCTCTCAGTAGCTTTGAGTCTTGAGAGTTTGCTGGGAGAGGGTAGAACTGGGTCTTTCCTAACCATGAGTGTCTGGATTTAGTGTCTTTTCCTTCCTTCCATCTAATCTACTTCATATCCCCAGCATCGAGCAAACTCCTGGAGCACAGGCTGGGTAGAGAGGAGAGGTTCTGGGTCTACCACTGCCCTGTGTGTGACTAAGCCCAGGTTAAGCCCCCAACACATGAGAGGAAAGCTGCTAACTCCAAGCTATAGCCATGGGCCTCTGGCCCCTGCTTTCCCGCTCAGCAGAGCCCCTCCCGTCAGAAATTACGGGTACTTGCACTGGGGAGGTGGCTGCTAGCTGGCCTAAGCAGAGCGCTGAGGCGTCTAAGCAGTGTCCACTGGTGGGGGCAGAGGGTGCCAGGTGAGGAGGAGGAGGAGGAGGAGGAGCGGTCCTTGTACTCAAGCAGTACTGAGGGGGTGGGGCAGTGCAGGTCCCTGGGCAGCCCCTTCCTCCTTTTCAACCCACCCTCACTCCACTCCCTATTGCCTATTTCTAAAGTCGCCTTTTCTGTCGATAAACCTCAAAACTTAATTTTATTTGAGAATTTTTTTTTTGCTTTTAAATAAGAGGTGGATTGAAGAATATTTGAATTGACTTTATATTATGCATAAATATTTATATTTTATCTAAATAACTGCGCCGTAACAGACTTTGTGTTAGATGTTTGGAACTGTTATAACTGGGGACGACTCTCCCCATGGTAAGTGTCCCTCAGCATAAAATGTACTGGAGTCATTCACGGTGGAGTGGAAGGGAGAGTGAGGCCGCCACGTCTGGTTTGTGCTCCTCTCCAGTTCCAGCTCTGTCCTAGGGACCAGGCACTCTTACGGGGGTGGAGGTCCCAGACTTCTGGGGTAGGGCATGATCCAAGGGGCCATTTCTCACTTTTCTTTCTCATCTTTACTGCCCTCCAGCTAGGTGGATTCCTCTTATTGGCCGAGTATTTGGTAGGGAAAGCAGGTTAAAAATAAAGAGACACCCACCCCTGCCCTTTGTGTCCCTCCCCTATCTGGTAACAGCAAGAAACCAACACCAACAAGTTTCCATGTTCCTTTTACAACAAAAGGGACTGACTTTTTATATAACCAAATGTGGTGTTTTAGTGACTTTTTGATAATGTACAGTTTTTTGTGAATTTAAATTTATTTCTTTCTATATTTTTAGGACCAATCTCATTTTTAATAAGGTTTAAAAAAAGGAAAAAAAAGTCTAGAGAAAAAAAAAAACCACCTCGTTTTTGCCATGTGATGTTCCACAGGTGCGGCTGTAGAAAGTGCTTGTCATTGAATAAAACCACATTTGATAGAGACTTAGAAAGACTGGCGTGTTTCTCTGGTGCAGCAGATGCGCCGTCCTCTGCTTGTGTGGTGGAGCACTCAGCGCTCCTGTTACGGTGTCACCGTGTGCCATGGTGGCAAGAGTTTCCCCTCCACAGCCATGGATAAGACGCTAAGACAGGCTTTTGTGTTTTATTATTATTATTTTTATTTTTTAAAAGAAAAGATTGAAGTTAGCAAAAGTAAAGCTCTTCCAAATCACAGGGGAGCGATGGGAACCAGAAGTCAGCCGAGGAGATCGAGCAGGAGGTAGTATTGGCAGATGTGGGAGAATATAAAACTACAGGTTTCCGGGTAAAGGGGAAAAAGTACAAAATGTGTTCTAAGTATAACTTCAACCTCCTCTCCAGGGTGATAAGTGCATCCAATGGAGCCGTCACTCGCCCCAGAGACCGGCAGGAGCAGACCCATCCATTCCAGCCCATCAAAATCAGTCTTTAGTCCCAGCACTCGGGAGGCAGAGCCAGGCGGATCTCTGAGACCAGCCTGGTCTACAGAGTGAGATCCAGGACAGGCACCAAAACTACACAGAGAAACCCTGTCTCGGAAAACCAAAAAGAGAAAAAAATCACAAACAGCGCTCAGCTCTAGGGCATCCTCCAGTCTCTTCTCTTATTCTCCAAAGCTGGTGTTTCTGGGGTGACTAGTAACTGCCCTAGGTGGTCAGTGCACAGCTTGGGCCCTGGCTTGTCGTACAGGGACTGATCTGGAGAGCTCACACCATTGTAGGTGATAGGGGAGCCAAGATCGCTAGAGAAGACAATCCAGAAAGAGCAGTTCCAGTTCTGGAACTGAAGAGTTGGCATTTGTTTCTAAGTCCATGAAGACAAGGGCAGTGCTGATGTTAGGCAAGTAGATGCTTGTGCTCTTGTTAAATCCTGAGACTGAGGTAGTTGAGTGATGAGGACAAGGAAGTTGGGGATTTGCTGGGACAGTAAATGCTTGTTTTGAACAAACAGACTCCAGTAAGAGCAGTCACGAGGGCGATGAGGACATGGAGCTTTCTCACCACCACCACATGGAAACCATTTCCAGCGAGATTCAGCACAAAGCAGAAGAGACAAATAGAGGCTGGTTTTAGCTGCTGCGGAGAGGCTCCAGGAGAGCCTGTCAGCTTCAGGACTCTAATGCTAAAAGGCACATTTAAAAGGTGGGCTGTTCAGAAGTGGGAGTGGTTGGATCGCAGAGGAACTGAGAAGAATCAGTGTAATAAGGCACAGATTTGATCTGCCTCCATAGACTGTGATTCTCTGAATTCAGGTCTAGAAAAGGCTGGGTAAGTTTGGACTGAACACCTACTCACTGTATCGCTCTTGGCAGTTCTGACACTTTTTTTCCAGAAGGTGGGGCGCGTCCAGGAGGGATGGGAAGCAAGAGCAACGAACTCTTCTTTCCCCCTCATGGCATACCGCCCCATCTTTATTACTGACAAGAGCTGTTCCCTCTCAGAGGCACCTCACTTCACAAGCTGGGCAGTTCTTAGTAAGAATCTCTCCATCACTGTTCCCACATCTCCCTAATTAATCAGCATCTTCCTCAAAAGCCCAGGCCGTCTGTAGCCTGTGCACCCAAAAGGAATGCTACTAACACTGATGCGGGTTAGGCCTGGAGCCTCGTAAAGAGTTACACCGTCCTAGGAATGGACTCCAGTGTGTTCTAACTGGAAACAAAATGTTGTGAGCATCTATGGGGTGAGATACAGAGAAAGGTCTGACCTCCATGCCAGCAGGATTCAGGAACCACTGGGCATGGTGTCTCAACACTCCACTGCCTTGGGCCGTGGAGAGGCGCTTCCTGTGGAGCTGTGTCATGTGGACCATCCCTCTACAGCCTGCATCCTTACTTCCTGTCTCTAGTCACTACCTCACTGAGTAATGAGCCAACAAGAGAGAATGGAAATCAAGCAGAATTACACAGTGCCATTAACTGCTATAAAAAAAAAAATTACAGGTTACCCTCATTCCCCGTGTTCACACCTGTTCAACCAGAAACACTGGAATCTAACCAGTGGGAAACCTCAAGAGATAACTTCATGTTCTAAAACCATCAGCCGTTTGAATTGCATTAGGACTACAGAAAAGGAAACGGGCTGTAAGAGGTAAGTGACGGGGAGCAGTGGCGTCAGAGCCTGATGGTCAGCAAGGTCCCCCAGTCCACTGAACAGGTGAGTGAAGAACAGTTCTGGGCTTGGTCTTTTTGTTCTTAAAAACCGCTAACAAGAAAGCAGCCTCTTGAGTGTCCTGTCATTGAAGGCTGGAGGCCTTTAACAGGATGGGACTGACCTTCCTAAGGTTGGGAGCACCAATGAAAAATGTGGTAATTTTGTTCTTTATACTGTATGCTTGCCACCGCCATGAACCCCTAATTCCCAGAATGCACGGTACAGTCAGGCCAGGATTCCTAATGGTGCAGCATGCCCAGCTGCTGAACCAGTTTCCCAACCACCACCCCACTCGAGCCCTCTTCTTGCACACAGGCCTGTGAACACATTCCCCATCTCCACCTATGGGGAAGGTCTGACTGAAGGGCTAAAGACAACATTTAAAGGTCCCTCCTGACGTAAGCAAGGAGCTGAAGTACTGCCTTTTCTATCCCAGCTACCTGTTGTCCTTCCACAAGAAGGACAATGATTTCTGGTGGTCTGGTTCCCAGGGGAAGGGGTCCAGACACACCAGAGCTGAGCAGGGTACTTCCTACATAGAGAGCTTGTCCTTTCTCAGGCATGCACAGCACACAGTGTACAGTTCTCACTTTCATCCCTTCAACTGCATTTGGCATACATATACAACCATGAGTGAGCCCTGCTAAGACAGCTCCTGCTGAATTTCTAAGTGATTCAGCAAGGTCACAGCTGGGATGAGAGGCTGAGACCCCAGGCAGAAATGATCCACCAGGAGGCAGAATGGACAGAATTCAAATGAACGCAGCAGGCACTCCTGGTCGGTTACATGGAATTTACAAGGCTCTGTGTCCAGGGTGGGCTGGGGATTTAGCCTACTCCAGAAGGCAGGGAAATACTTTATCTGAACTAGATAACTCTGCCAGGAGGTGAGGTGTGGTTCTGTACTGTCAGATATTCAGGACCATCCTTGATCTGCAACAACTAGGTGCCAAGCACACACGACCACTCCCAGGCATGGCAATCAAAGATGATAGACATGGCAACAGCCTCTTAGGGACAAAATAACCTCCAGTTAAAGTGAAGGGCTGAACTTGCTCAGCGGGGAATAATCTTTAAAGGGACCGAGCAAGGCCACAAGCAGAGGGATGGGGCTGTGAGACCTGGGGGAGGATGAAGACCCTCCAGGAGGCAGAGCAGGTGTCCCCAAACGCTGAAGCTGGCCAACACCTCTCAGACATCAGTAAGTTCATCCTTCTTGAACTTGCCACCAGATCTGGTTAAAGGGTGACTTCCAAAGGCTGCAGTTGTCACATCTCTTCTCGGAAAGCAGAGAGAAAGCCACCTCCACGGTCTGTGTGATGCTCTCTCCCTTCCCCCAGTTCCACATGAAATTTAAGTCAAATTCATAAAATTAAAAACTGCAAAAAGGCAAGTAGGCAAGGCTCAGCTAAATGGAAAAGAGAAAAACAATCTGGACAAAAAGCTAAAGAAAAAATTGCCAGGTGTAGTGGTGCTCTCAGGAGATGGAGTGGGTAGGATCCCTGTGAGTTCAAGAGTTGAGTTTCTGGCCACTGAGACCCTCCCTCCCTTAAAAGGTGGTGGGGTCGGGGATGAAATGCGATGTGTGAGCTCAGAGCTTTGCAACACAAAAAACTTCAAATCTGCATATTTCAAACACATACATCAAAAATAGTCCATAACTAAAGTTGGCAAGCAGGACTCCTCCATCGGTTTCCCAGCACTTTTTTTTTTTTTAAGAAATCATTTTAAAAGCCTTCCTAAGTATTTCCAACAAACCCCAACCTTTCTGTGAAGATGAGAAGCGGCTCAACCAGTGTAAGGTTTTCTGATCTTGGATGTAGCACATACAGAAAGCAACATGGTTCCCCCGGCTCCATCGATGGGAAAACAGCCCAAGGCAGGCATGCACAGGCTTCTGTTCTCAGACCCGGGCCTATGGGGAATTGATGGCCACAGGTTAGTGCTCAGTGTGCCTTATAGGATTGCCTGTAACCTGCTGAACCTTCTGGAGTCTGGGAACATCTCCAAAAATGGCATTTCTGTTTAACAGAGCTGTGGGCAAGAACCCTAAAGGAGGCATAAGCTGAAGAGGGTGTGGAGGGGCACGACAACCTGTCTGGCTACCGGCGCAAGACCCAGCAGCCATCTCCCAGTTCAGCACAACAGCACACCCCCAGCTTAAAGTCTTACCTCATTACTTGCTGAACTGGAAAGGATAGACCCCATGGTCTGAGGGTGTCTCCACGGCCACTTGATTCTGCTGACCGCTGCTCTCCTGTATCACAGCCAAGGAAAATTACTGATGCCTTCCGATGCTCTCCTCCCCCCAAGAAGCTCACTAACCAGATCCAAAGCTGAGTGGCATCCCCAGCTCACCCACTCCCCAAAGGCAAGTGCGCTCACAGCACCTGAGTCGGACAGGGTGATGCGGTACAGCTACTTTGGGAAATACGTAAGCAATTGCTCATTTTCAGAGCGTTTAAGCAACTGAAGTGGCATCCCGGTCTGAACTGAACTGAGCCGGCTGGCTGTGAACACCAGTGAAGCCTTTCCTCCCTACCCTCCTCACGCCCACCAGTGAGGAACAGAGTCAGCAGTGCTGTGAGAGAAAGTGCTTGCTCAGGACAGAAATCTGCCTTTCACTGTGTCCTAGCGTCACCGCAAAGAAAGAATGCCCCTACCTCCACAGACACATTGGAAGAAGGCACAGGAGGGTACTGGGGGATGTAAGCTCCCTGCATAGCAGCCGTTGGCAGGAGCTGGAATGGAAAAGAGCCATGGTTCTCAGACAGTTCAGAGCACTTGGGGAGCTTTGAAAAGGACTATACCTTTATTGGTGTGGGTGCTTCTTAGAAGTGTTCCCAGTGGTACTCGGGTACGCTGGCCTAGAGACAGATCTGCCTTCCTAGCGTCTCCCTCCAGACCCTTGGTTCCCTGCCCACCAGCTTCCCTGCACAAGTCAGGCCTAAAAGAAACCTCAGCTGCTTCATCCCTTTCTTTTAGTGTTCTGATGAATTCTGGGAAATAGGCACTGATTCCTGAGTGAATACACAAATGTTTAGAACTTACTTAGCTCCGTGACTGGGAAGCACCAGAGGTAGGAGGAAAGCAGAATGGCTATATTCCCAGCTTACAGATTCTTTTCTGTTTATCATTGTCCTTGAACTTTTGAATGTCTTCCTTCCTCAGCCTCCTGAGTACAGGGATTAGAGAGGCATTTATCCCAGGTCTGAGTGTACCTTCACTGACCCTGAAAAAACACTTCCATCCTCCGTCACTACTGGTGCTAAGGAGCATTTCACAGGCAGTCTCATTCTACAGAGTCGATACTTAGAGACACTCCTTTACCGGGCCCAGGCTGCTGAGTGACAGGTGACCCAATTGCTGAGTAAGAGGTCCCATCATGGAAGCAGGCTGGAGAGAGAGAGGGTGGTCCATCCCTGGTGTAAGAAGTGAGCCCTGGAGGAGGCAATGAAGAAAATGGTTAGGGCGGCAGCCTCCTACAAAGACACTTCAGGCAGTGACTGACGGCAAGCAGGGCCACCAACATTTATTTATTTATTATTTGTTTATTTATTTATTTATTTTTGGACAGGGTCTCTATGTAGCCCTGGCTATCCTGAAACTCTCTATGTAGATCAGGCTGGCCTTGAACTCACAGAGATCCACTTGTCTCTGCCTCCCAAGTGCTGGGATTAAAGGCGTGCGCCACGACACCCAGATTTGTATTTGCTGCTTTTCAAGAATCATTTATTAACTGCACTGTAAGTGGGAAGCAGACTGCAGGAACCAGAGCACCGTCTGCTGACGTTTCCAAGTCCTGGGAATTAACGTGAGCAGCAACCCGGCTCGAATACGAACAGCACCCTGACCTTCAGTCTGCAAAGGCTTTTGTCTAAGAAATCACGGAATTAGGTTGCTGTTGGGTTGCACAATGCACTGAGCCAGAACTCACGCCCACAGGACCGTGTTATCAAAGCCCTTTGCTTTTCTTTACATCGAATTGTCTCTTTTGCTTCTGCCCACTTCTGAACACTCACTGAAGGCTGCGTGAGGTACGACTGGTGTTGCATCCAGGATGGGTTAGGTACTTGTAGAGGAGATGTCTGAATCACTCTCTGATATAAGCAAAAACAAATAAAAATGTTAACTGCCTAGGCTCAGGGACTGAGAATGTTCAGCAAAGTCCCCCACAAACTGATATGTCCCTTCAGAACACAAACATCAAGAACAGGCTGTTTTTTCCAGGCATGGGGCTGGCACGCCTTTAACCCCAGCACTTGGAAAGCAGAGGCAGGTGAATCCGAGTTCAAGGGCAACCTGGTCTACATAGAGAATTCCTGGCCAGCCAGGGCTATATAGTGAGACCCTGTCTCAAAAACCTTAAAAAAGCAAAAAGAAAAGAACAAGCTGTTTACAAAATATTAGCAACTTATAACTCAGATAACCCGGTTAAAATTAAGCAAAGGGCCGGGCGGTGATGGCACACGCCTTTAATCCCAGCATTAAGAAGGCAGAGGCAGGTGGATCTCTGAGTTGGAGGCCAGCCTGGTCTATGGAGTGAGTTCCTGGAGAAACCCTATCTTGAAAAACAACCAAAAAAAAAAAAAAAGTAGGCAAAGGGTCATGAAGGTAGGTAAGGCTCACCAGGTAAAGGCATTTGCCACCAAATCTAAATCTAAATCTACCGAGAGAGTAGAAGGAGAAAACCTTCCACAAGCTGTCTTCTGACCTACACACACACACACACACACACACACACACACACACACACACACACACACACACACACACACGGAGGGGGGGGCGGAGAATGACAAGAAATAGGATTTTAAAGAAGGTATTGGGGTATGGCTCGGCCAGCAGAGCCTTGCTGCTCTTCTGAGGACCCCAGCTGGGTTCCCACCACCCACATTGTGGCTCCCAGGCATCTGTAACTCCAGTTCCAGGGGATCCAACACCTGACCTCCTCGGGTTCCAGGCACATATGAAATACACGTACATACATAGAAGCAAAACACTCATACACATAAAGGACTTAAAGATATTGTTGTGAGAATAATTAATACATGTTAAATGTGGTTCTGTTTTTATAAAATGAATTACTCCCAAAGTCCCTTATATATGTATTTATTCACATGAAAGTGAGATGCAGTAGGAATCAAACATGCATTTACTTGCGTGGTGAAAGAGAAAGAGAATTTTTTTTTTTTTTGAGGCAGGGTCTCTATTATGTAGCCCTGGCTGTCCTGGAGCTCGCTCTGTAGACCAGGCTGGCCTCGAACTCACAGAGATCCACCTGTCTCTGCCTCCCAAGTGCTGGGATTAAAGGTGTGCACCACCATACCAGCTCAAGAGGATGCCTCTGAAAGTGTGAATATACGCATACATTGTATGTGTGCGCATATACACATATAGGAATACATGCTATTTTATACACACACATAAATCACGTTATGCTTTTACATAACATTTTTCGTGTGTACAATATAGAAAAGCTTTAAATTCCTTCACTTAAACCACCATGCCTTACCTGATAGGAAGACACGGGAGATGGAAGATATGGGGAGAGCGCAGACTGAGCAAGCATCCTGCTGTGGGCAATGTTGTAAGGGGCTGGGTAGAACCTGTGGAAAGGGCTTTGTTTGGTGAGACACCCCAGGAAACCAGAGCCACCTCCACTACCTGATATTTGGGAATCAAAATCAAACACCCAAGAGCCCGGACGGGAGCCACTGACATTTCCCCCTTACCCATTCTGAAGAGCAGCGGTGGGGTCATAGGTCAAGGCCATACCACCCTATAAGGAAGAATACAGGGTTCTTATTTTGAGCCCAGAGTGCCCATGAGTCCCACTGCAGGTTTCTGGAACTGTGCAGGCTGCAAAACTGCCCTGAAGAGCAGGGAACAACCCGCAGCGCACAGCCACGCAGACGGCCCTCAAGCTTGCCGCCTAGGCGCACGGAAACCGGGCCGCGCATGCACGTGCGCGCGCGCGGCCATTCCCATCCCACTCCAAAGCCTTCTACCATGTCTCCGTTCCTTGGCCAGGTCCGTCCGTTCTGCACAAATTTTCCTTGGTGCTGTCGTTTCTTTGGCCCGCCATCGGCAAACTTGCAAAGCAAGGGGTCAGACGGTGCTGGCGAGAGACAAAAGCAGCCGGGCGCTGGACGGCCGCCGCACCTGGCACGCACCCCTCCCGTGGCTCCCAGCCTGGGTCCCAGAGCCCTCACCTGCCACTCCGGGGGGCGTCTTAAGATACTTCCCATTAAAGTGGGTGATGATGGCTTCACACTTCTCGGTGGACTCCATCCTAAGACACACAGGAGGACTAAGGCTCTCACCTGTCCCGGATCCGCGCTCAGCGGGAAAACCCAGGTCCCTAGACCCACGCACGCTCGAGAAGTTACATGTGGTACGAAGAGGAGTTTCTGTCGCATGTGTTCAATTCAAGGCATCTGTGTTTCCTTTTTTATCTTTTTTAAGACGGAGTGTGTGTGTACTCCTCAAACCCTCTATCTAGGGATGACTTTGATCTTCCGATACCCCTGCCTCGATCGGAGTTGCAGTTGCAAACACTCCACCATGTCTGATTTTTATGCAGCGCTGAAGACCGAACCAAGGCAGCAAGCACTTGTGACGAGCAAGCACTCGGCTGAGCGCCTGCCCGGCCCTTTACTGTAAAATTCCTAATGGAGGGCTCTGATGAGAAGGTTCGGTGGGTAATGGCACCTGCCGGCAGGACCAGCAACCTGAGTTCCATCGCTGGAACCACGCAGTGTTAGGAGAGCGACAACTCCTGATGGCTGTCTTCTGACCTCGACACATGCGCCGGAACACACAAACACGCACATAAGCACGCACAAAACGAATTAATTTAAAATTTTTTTTCAAATGTCAGCGGGCAGTGGTGGCGCACGCCTTTAATCCCAGCACTCAGGAGGCAGAGGCAGGCAGATCTCTGAGTTCGAGGCCAGCCTGGTCTACAGAGTGAGTTCCAGGACAGCCAGGACTAAATAGAGAAACCTTGTCTTGGAAAAAAAAAAATTTTTTTTTTCAAGTGTCTACTGAACTAAAAAAATTCCTAAGGTGCCAGCATGGTGCCTTTAATCCCAGCACTCGAGAAGCAGAGGCAGGTGGATCTCTTGAGGGTTCGAGGCCAGCCTGGGTCTATTTATCAAGTTCCATGACAGCCAGGGCTATAGGGAGACCCTGTCTCAAAAAAAAGGGATGAGGTGGGGTGGAGAAATGATTCAGTGGGTAAAAGTACTTCTTGCTCTTGTAGAGGACCCAGGCTCTGTTCCAAGCACTCACATGACGGCTCACAACAATCTGTAACTCCAGTTACAGGGACCTGGTGCCCTCTTCTGACCCCTGAAGTCAACAGACTCACACTTGGTGCACATACATACATGCAGGCAAAAGACTCCTGCCCATACAAAATAAATATGAAAAAAGTTTTGTTTATTTGATGAAACTGCACAAGCTATAATTTTGTTGATATTTATTTCCATTTCTGGCGATAATTATCAAGGCCCAATTATCTACGACATATTGTTATGATTGGTAGTAAAGAGCTCATGAGGCCAGTGAGAAGCCTCGATACATAAATACTTTCTGAAGGGGGTGAGGGCTCATGCTCCATAGCGATAGCAAGGGACGTGTTAGGTAGGACCTGCTCCATGGCAGCTGGGTGGAAGGGGCCTGGGAAAGAAATGATGTAGGTGCCAGTGGCCACTCACCACCCAAAGCTGTCAGTCAGAACACTCAGAAAAGTGCCGACTCTGTCCCTCACCTGTACACTAGACACAGTCCCCACAGGCCAAATCACTTCACAGGTCCTGCTTGTGTTTGATTTTCTGAAATGGGATCTTGCATTGTAGCCCGTGTTAGCTCTCAAGTGTCTCAGTCTTCACATGCTGGGATTTCAGCAGCTCTACACTTGGGCTGGCAAGATGCTCAGCAGGTCAAGGAGCCTGCTAATCTAATGTCAGTTAGCCTTGACATGAGACTCCTGTCAGGTCTAATGACCTGCGTTTGACCCCTGGAACCGACATGGTCAAAGAGGAAAACTGATTCCTAAAAGTTGTCCTCTGACCTACACACCCCTGCCACGGCACACCCACACATACACACACAAGCTCACGAAATAAATAAAATGTAATAGAAATATAAATGAGTAAACACATTCTGACAGTTCTTTAATCCCAGCTACTGGTGAGTTGAGATTCAAAATCTACCTCAACTACAGAATAAGTTCGGGGCCTGTGTGATGGTCAACTTAATACAACCTAGAGTCACATGGGAAGTCCCAGTGCCTCCGGGGGACGTCTTCAATTAGTTCATGTGGGTGGCACCATTCCCTAGGCAGGGGAGCATCCATGAATTCATTCCGCTGTGGTTTTTGGGTTTTTGACAGGGTCTCACTATATAAGTCTGTTTACCCTGGAACTTACTCTACAGACCAGGCCTTAAACTCCACCTACTTCCGCCTCAAACATCCACACCAGCTGCTCTCTTGTCTTGACTGTGGGTGTGACTGGTCCCCACTGACCTTCCTGAGACGGACCGTAACCAAGAACCATGAGCTGAAATTCCCTCTTTGCTAAGTAGTCTTTCGTTGGGGTATTTTTATCACAACAACAAAGAGGAAACTAGGCCCACTGTCACAAAATGAAAAAAAAAAGGTCAGGGATGAAGCTCAGTGGCAGACTGCGCACCTAGCATGACTGAAGTCTTGGCTTCAGCCCGCACTGCAAAGACGACAGACAGGCACGGGGGTAGGGAGACGGCCCACTTGGTAATCCACGTTCAGTCCCCAGCACCCACAGAAAAGCCAGGTGTGATGCTGAGATCCACATACTTGTGCAAGCATACCTCATCCTCGCCCCCACAGACTGTTTGACCATTTAATTACTTAACGCACTGGATATTTCTTTTGGTACGGAGGGGAACGTGCTACGCTAACTAAGGGCGCCATGAACTGAGACCATCGGCCCCAAAGTGAAGGGCTAGCGTGGCATGTTGGCCCAAGTCTGTAGTTCCTGTATTTAGGAGGCAGAGGATTTCAAGTTCAAAGCCAGACTGGGTTCACATCAAGACCATAGCATGTCTCAAATTTTAAAAAATCAAATTAAAATTAAAAAGATTTTTTTTTAAATGCCAAATGCCATTTATTGAAGGAGGGAGGAGGTCTTAAATACAGGCTGACAGCACAATGGGAGAACCCCGGAGGGCAGAAGTTCGCTACCAATGTTTTACAATCTTGCATCTAAGCTGTTAATGCCCATTATGCAGGATACAGACAAGGAACTTCCCTTAAGCATTCAGGAGGGTGGAACCCGGCAGGGAATTAGCATAGGGAGGATATCAAGGTCAAGGTCAGCAAGCAAGGCAACAGTTACCCAAAACAGGGGCCAGGGACCTACAGGTCCCCCTTTTACTAAAAAATGAGCTTCTGACTTAGGTTGCGTGGGAAGTCAGCAGGTCACCTTACCCGTTATGGAGACGCCTGCCCAGGCCACACAGGTGCTCTGTCTTAGGTTGGTGAGCGCCCCCCAAGCATTACCCATCTCTGAATACTCATTATCATACAGGCTCAATCATGTGTGAGCTGCAGAGTTAACTGCTGCCAAAGATCTCAAAGTGGCGCTGGGCTTGCAATCTGTGTGTTCGACACAGAAAAGATTTCTTTTTAATTAAAAAATTAAAAAGAGGGCCGGGCGGTGGTGGCGCACGCCTTTAATCCCAGCACTCGGGAGGCAGAGCCAGGCGGATCTCTGTGAGTTCGAGGCCAGCCTGGTCTCCAAAGCGAGTTCCAGGAAAGGCGCAAAGCTACACAGAGAAACCCTGTCTCGAAAAACAAAAAACAAACAAACAAAAAAAAAAAAAAATTAAAAAGAAAATGTACGTCAAAAATCGATTAACACAAGCCCAGTGAATTTTCCTCTTGTCATACCTGGAACTGCCATCAGGTGGTGCTACTCAGATTGAGCCCGTTAAAATTTTTTTTCTAGCCACAGCCTCTATTATTCAATAAATAAATAAATAGATGGATGGATGGATGGATGAATGAATGAATAAATAAAATAAATGGATGGATGGATGAATAAATAAATAAATAATAAAAAGCTGAGGGTGGAAAGATGTTTTGTTCTTTGAGACAGGGTCTCATGTGGTCCAAGGGCTCCCTATTCTCTTGTCTCTATCTCCCAAATGTTAGTTAGGATTACAGGGTGGGCCACCATCCCAAATTCACTCCCAGTCTCTGAATCACTGACTAAGGGAGTATTCATGAGCAGATAAGAGACTGAAACACAAAGGGTGATCCTCGAAATTGTGACTTTCCTGCCTCAGTCCTCCAAGCGCAGGGATTACAGGCGTATACAATACCAACAGAGTTTTTGTTTTTTATTTTGAAGAAAGGGTCTCTTGTAACCAAAATTGACCTTAAACTTTTATTTATTATGTATACAGTGTCCTGCCTGCATGTATGTCTGCACACCAGAAGAGGGCACCAGATCTCATTACAGATGGTTGTGAGCCACCATGTGGTTGCTGGGAATTGAACTCAGGACCTCTAGAAGAGCAGCCAGTGCTCTTAACCTCTGAGCCGTCTCTCCAGCCTGACCTTGAACTTTTGATCCTTCTGCCTCCACATCTCAAGTGCTGGGAATACCGGGAGGCACTTCACCAAACACCCATCTCATTCCACACTGGAGCTCAAACCGGGGTTTCCTGCATGCAAGCGCTCTACCAACTGGGCTACATCACTAGTCTGTTCTGAGACAGGGCTGAGACCTACATAGCCCTGGCTAGCGTAACATTCCCTGCTCTATCGCACGCTGGCTTTGAACCTGCAGTGATTCTCCTTCTTTGGTCTCCTGAGTATTGGAGTTTGTGAGCAAGTTTATGTCTGGCTCAAAAAGAAAAATAGTCTTTACAGCAATTTTTCACATATATCTGTGTGTGTATGGGCATGTGAGTAGGGGGGGCTTATGGGAGTCTCCCTCTCGACCACAGGAGCCTGGGGGTCAAACTCAGGTTGGCAGACTTGGCAGCAAGCACCTTTATCTGCTGAGCCGCCTTGCCAGCACCCAAACAAAACCTTAAAGTAAATAAAAGCAAATCAATTTTTTAGGTAGGCTAGGATCTGCTGAAGCTCTGTGACACACGAGCCCAGAAGAGGGCAGCCTAGAGAACAGGAGAAGCTAAGGCCTGTTAATAGCCAACATCTATCCGGACCGTCGGTCACTGCAAGGGTTGCTCTCCCTAAAGATCTGAAAAGTGGAGCAAACCCTCCGCTTCATCCTGCTGCTGTGAGGACCAGGCCTCTGTGCTGCTGTCCAGTCTTGGTTAGGAGGGGGCAGTGGGGGAAAGCACGAAGTGTGGACAGCTGGGAAACAGAGGCAGGAGGATTACCACCAGTTCAAGTTACATGCCAGGCCCTTGGGTTAATACTACATACACACACACACACACACACACACACACACACACACACACACACACTTGATTTAATACCAAGGGTTTAAACAACTTTTATTACATTTTATATATTTAGTGTGTGTGTGTGCACAAGCCACAGTGCATGTGGAGGTCAGAGGATGACTTGCTGGAGTCATTTCTCTTCTTCCACCGTGTGGGTTCCAGGGATCAAACTTGGGTCACCAGGCTTCGTATAAAGTGCCCTTACCTGCTGAGTCACCTTGCTGGCTCTTACCAGGTATCTTTGACCATTATTTTGGTCCGTGTAGGGAGGAAGGGCAGTGTGTGTGTGTGTGTGTGTGTGTGTGTGTGTGTGTGTGTGTGTGTGTGTGTGTTTCTGTGTGTGATTCTGTCTATGTGCCTGTGTGCTGCAGGCCACAGGAATATATCCTAAGAACTCAGCTGGTCATGGCAAAGTTACTACCTGGAGGGATCAGGGAATTCCTCCAGAGGAAGCCAAAGCTCCAAGGAGCGTCTGGTGTTATTTGGCTTGTTATATATCAGCTGTCTTCTGTTATGAAAATCATGTGTGCCTTCATAGTTTTCCCAATTGACTTTTTCCTAAGAAGGGCTAACAGTGTGGACTGATCACTCTCTGGACATATACATTCCAGGTATTTGGAGAACAGCCTCAGGAAAGGCTTTCTCTGGAATCAGATATCTCCCCTAGCCACTTTCAAGGACTAGCAGTAATAACAGTCCACATGCAAGTCTCCTGATTTAAGGTAAATTCTACAAGGAGACACCACCTAGGTCAGGTAGACGTTAAGTAATAGCTTTACACAATTCAGCTCGGACCCTCCTTTCTTACAGCCTTACTAACTTTATAGACCGCTAACTCCTTACCTAACCACTTCTAGGAACATTTAGATAACCCTCTGTACTGACAGCTATGCTCAGTCAGAACCCTAGTTCAAGCCTCCCTGTAATTATCATCATTGGCAGCATCCGGCCAGGTCCATCCCCAGATGGAGGAAAGTACCTTATCAGAGATACCTCTGTACTCTCTAAGAACAGACTTAACCATCCAGGCTACCTATTTGAGAAGGCCTGGCAGATGTGCCAATTAAGCTTTACTTCCTCCTTTCCCAAACCTTACCTCTAGTTCCAGATCTCCCTTTAACTATCACCAAAGGCATCTACCTGTACACAGGTTGCCTAGCGACTGAGCACACTTTCCCCCACCCTGCAGAAAAACGGCAGATAGCTTGGACAAATAGGAGCCACAGGAAAAAAGAAGACAGTTTTACTTTCTCCCATTGACCTAGCAACTTATAGATTCTTAACATTTTCTACTAAACACGTTTAAGACTATAGTTGAGCACATAAGATTCCCTCTTCTTAGATATTACCCAAATTTAGCCTTTAGTTAATTCATTTCCCCATTGGTCACTTCCCTTTGGGGTTGCAAATGATAATTAATGGTTATTGCCTCTCAATGTGATTCTTATCACCCTTCGTTTGACCCTGGAAGCCTGGCTTTATATACCAGGACTTCCAGGGCATGGGACGGAGAAGAGAAAGGAGAATGGAAGAACTAGATGGGTAAGAAATTGAGAGGAACAAACTGAGATGGGGAAGAACTAGATTGAAGGGCTAGAAGAGAGTACTAGAGGAACGAGATGGAAGATGAGGAAGAGCCAGATGGGGAAGTACTAGCTGGGTAAGAACAAGATAAAAAGGACCTAAATGAGGCAGAATTAAGATGAGAGAATTAAGATAGAACTTAGAGGGAGCAATAGATAAGTATAGAGAGAAATCAGGCAAGAAAGGAGCTAGGCACGAAACAGAACTGAAGCTGTGTATATAGGATGTTATGCCAGAGGAATTAAAGCAAGTGGACTATAGAGCTCAGTGTGCTGAGATTCTATTTCCTGAAAATAGTCCTCGCTGTTAGTAGTTCTCTCTCCTGAGCCCCTGGGATGTATAATATTAAGGCTGGTCCTACTAATATTATACAAGACCTGTGTGTGCGTGTGTCTGTGTATCTGTGTGTGTGTGTCTATGAGTGTTCACCTGTCTGTCTGTGTGCCTGTGTGTGAGTGTGGGGGGGGGGGTTGCCTGTGTTTGTCTATGTGCCTGTGTGCACCTGTGTGTGTCTATGTGCCTGTGTGCACCTGTGTGCGCGTGCGTGCGTGCGTGTGTGTGTGTGTGTGTGTGTGTGTGTGTGTGTGTGTGTGTGTTGTTTCCCAAGTTCTCTCTCTTTAACCACCCTTAACCTTCTCTTACCTCGCAAAGCCGACCCCTCTGCTGGCCCCACTAGTGTCTCGAAGGATTCGGGTGGAGATAACCTGGCCAAACGGCTTCAGCATCCCCTCCAGTTCTTGCTCATCCATTGACAGGGGGAGGTTTGAGATGTATAAATTTGTAGGGTCTTGCTCCTGTTGCTATGAACATGAAAAGTGGAAACTGAGGCTCACATCTTTATCCCATTTCACCCTCAGCCCTCATGTACAAAATAACATTTGAGCCAGCGGTGGCCATGCACGGGAGGCAGAGGCAGGCAGATCTCTGTGAGTTCGAGGCCAGCCTGGTCTACAGAGTGAGTTCCAGGACAGCCAGAACTACAAAGAGAAACCCCGTCTCGAAAAACCAAAAATAAATGACATTTGAGAAAAAGAAACATTAAGAGGGTTACGCACAAAGAGAATCTTAGCTGTTTGTAATATCCAGTCCCATCATCATGTACCGTATATCTAGCCCAGGAAGAAAAATTACAGTAATTACTATGTCTATTACTGTACAATACAGTAATAAAGCCACCAACCGAGTCTGTGCCCTGTTAAGCCTGGCCCAGGGACTAGAGATTCCCTCAGACTGCCTTGTCAACTCCATAGTTCTGCATACTTTCTCTCCCTCTCCTCTACCATGGCAGACTTGTCTAAGTGGGAATACCTGGTCCTTTGTGAGTGGGAGGGAAGAGGGAGGAAGAAACAGAGAAAGGGCCAGGTGTACTGCTGCTCAGTGGTTTACCTCAAGCCCTAAAAAGTCTAGTCTCCTGGGGGCCCAAGGCTAAAGTGAGAGGCTGCATTGGGAGGGGGTGTGAGGTCAGGGATGGGGGGGGGGTGTTCCCATTCGGCGGGATGCACAGTGGCAATTCTGCCCCAGGGCTGGTTTTTTTGTGTTTGTTTTTGTTTTTGAAATAATTTTATTTTTATTTGGTACGCATTGATGTTTTGCCGGCATGTATGTCTGTTGGAGGGTGTTGGATCCTGAAATTACAGACAGTTGTGGGCTATCATGTGGTTGCTGGGAATTGAACCCAGGTCCTCTGGAAGAGCAGCCAGTGCTCTTAACCACTGAGCCATCTCTCCAGCACCCAGGCCTGGTGTTTTGTTTTGTTGTTTTGTTTTTTTCTCCATGTATATGTGCAAGTGTGGCTGTTTTTTGAGACAGGGTCTCACGTTGTAGTCCTGGCTGGCTTGGAAGTTGCTATGTGGCCAAGGATGAACTTGAATTCCTGATCCTTCTGTCTCCTTCTCTCGAGCTCTGTGATCACAGGCACGTTCGCAATGCCAGCCCCCAGAGCTGTGTTTTCAAGACTGTAAATCACTACTCTGCCTCCGTCAGTAGTTCCTGTAACCTTAATCCTCTGTCAACGTCTGTTTCCTTTGTTTTTCTCTAAAATTGATTTGTTCTCACTTACAGCTATGGGTGTTTTCGCCTGCATGCATGTCTGTGTGCCATGTGTATGCAGTGTTCGTGGAGACCAGGAGAAGGTATTAGATCCCCTGGAACTGGAGTTAGGATGGTTTTAAGGTACCAGGTGGGTGCTGGGAACTGGACCCAGGTCCTTTGTCAAAACAGCCAGTGCTCCTCCCTCCTCCCTCCTCCCTTCCTTCCTCTCTCTCTCTCTCTCTCTCTCTCTCTCTCTCTCTCTCTCTCTCTCTCTCTCCCTCTCTCTCTCCCTCTCTCTCTCCCTCTCTCTCTTTCTTTTTTTCTTTCTTTTCTTTGGAGACTAGTTCGCACTCTTTCCTAGGCTGTCCTGGAACTCTCTGCAATCCTTTGCCTCCCAAGGGCTGGGGTCAGAGGCCTGAGCCATCATACCCTTAACCATTAGAGAAAAGAATGGCTGTCTTGGGGCTGGAGAGATGGCTCAGCGGTTAAGAGCACTGGCCACTCTTCCAGAGGTCCTGAGTTCAATTCCCTGTACCTACGTGGGGACACACAACCCACTGTAACTCTAGTTCCAGGAATGGCTGCCTTATCAGGTTCTTCAGAGTATTTGAGATGCCTCAGCAAAGCAAGGGAACTGTCCTCCCCTGCTGGAGGGATTCGAGAAAGGCCTCTAGCTTTCTAGGGGTTGACACTCTCAGCTCCAGGGAGCACTAAGCAAGAGGCTCAGTTCTAGCTTCCTTTCCTTCCCCCAGCCCTCTCCCAGCTCACTCCCTGCCCATGGGAGGATGGCAGGCAGGCCGTGTAAAGTGTTCCTCGGAACCTGAGCTGCACAACCGACTTCTTCAGAGAATGTTGCAAAACTCTAACCATCTGTCCTAGGAAAGTGCAGCCAGGTGGAGCAGGGAGGCAGCAGCACTGTGAGAGGCCTGGCCCTCCTGTCCATCACACAAAGGACGGTCGTCACACAAAGGACGGTCGCCCTGCAGCTCCGGTAGACCCTGGCGCAGCCTGTCTCTGTCCAGATGCTTCCAGAAATACCAGAAAGATGGCTCTGTGGTCAAGAGCACATTCTGGAGAGGACCTGAGTCCAGCTGCCATCACCCACATCAGGTAGCTCCGAGCTGCATGCACACGCACACACACACACACACACACACACACACATACACATACATACATACAAACGCTTGCGCACGCACACACACACACACACACACGCACGCACGCACGCATGCACACTGTAGACAATCCTTGCTCATCAACTTCATACCCGTAAGCACTGAGAGGCCCCACACTGGAATTTTGGTGCTGACCATAACCCCGGAAAAGCTGGCGTGGGGCGTCTTACCTTAGCCATCTGTGCCTGCACGCCACTGGCTTTCAGCGCGGTCACAGCCTTCTGTGCTGCTGAAGGACTGTCAAAGTCCACAAAGCCATAGCCTGGAACAGGGAAACAGCATCACGGGGATGTGGGATGTGTGAGAGAGGCTTTTCAGGAGACAGAGGAGGAGTTATAGTCCGTGAGAGAGATGTAGCGGGGAGAAACAGAAATTAAAAGTTTTCAGGCGACCCCTCACCCAGAGGTCAGGTCCACTCTGGCGAAGAGCGCCAAAGGAAATGGAAACCTCGTGTATCTGCCTTTCTCCTTCTCATTAAAAACCTGGGGCTTCAGACCCAACGTACGAAATCCGGGACCTCGTGCTCTTCTAAAGGCCCCATCTCTTCTCTGGACAGCCCCCAGAAATGCTGGGCAGGGAGAGACACAGCAGAGCAGGCAGGACCCGATGGAAGCGGCCCTTCCTACTCATCCCACTAATCTTCCAGCTCCACTTGGAAATGGAACCCCTCCTCAACTGGAAGAGAACCTACTGGCCTGTCCGGTTTACAATGACAAGCAGAGACAGTCTCTCCCGCATCCCCTCCCATCCAGGCAGACGTGGCCCGGAGTGAGCTCCAGCCACCAGAGGGAGCTCCACGCAGGCTTCTGGCTGGCTGTCCCCAACAGCATTCTCAGCTCTGGCTCTCCGTCACCGGTGACTCTAAATACCTATTGGTCTTTAGGCCCCAAATCCTCCCACCTCCTCCCTGCAGACGCCCCGCAGCAGGAGGCAGAGGACGGCCTCTCACCGCAGGCAGCTGCTTCTCACCTTTGCACTTGTTTGTGGTCTTGTCCAGTATGGCCTTGGTGGAGACAATCTTGCCATATCTAAGGGGGAGGGAAACGCAAAGTGATGATCTGGGGACAGGGATTAGGAACGGGACAAAGAGCCTGGCATGGTGGTGCACACGTAGGCTACACAGAGTAAAATAACAGGGCATGCGGGCGGTGGTGCCGCACGCCTTTGAACCCAGCACTCAAGGAACAGAAGCAGGAGGATCTCTGTGAGTTAGAGGCCAGCTTGGTCTACAGAGTTGAGTTCCAAGCCAACCAGACCTATATATATAGCTTTCTCCCCTCTCCCCAAAAAGCCAGTTGTGTTAGTTTTCATTGCTGTGATAAAATGCCTGTCAGAAACACTTTTGAAGGGAGAAAAGATTTCTTCTGGTTCATGGCTTCAGCCATCATGGCAGAGAGGATGAAGAAACTCATAGCATGGGAAAGGGAGGGAGGGAAAATACTGAGTCTCCTCTCTTTCCCCTCTGTTCCATCTTACCCCCACCCTCACCCATCTATGGGAGGGACTCACCTATATTCAGGGAAGATTTCCCTGCTTCGTTTTATCTCCCTGGAAAAGCCATCCCTGTCATACCCAGATGTGTACTTCGGCAATCTCCAGGCTGGTGTGGTTTCCATGGAAATGTCCCCACACGTCCTGTGGCTGAACACTTGGTTCCTAACTAATGACCCTGTTTCAGGAGGTGGAGCTGCACTGGACTGAACGGGCAGCAGGGACTTTACAGCGCAGCCCCACCTGGCTGCCCTTTGCTGACATCAGTGTCCTCCCAGCCACGATGGACCGTGTCCCTTGATCTAATCACATTGATGAGATCAACTGTCACATTGTCCTTAATATCACCCTAACCCCTCAAAGGCACCAGTTGAAATAAAGTCACTAAAGTCACTGCAATGTGAACATAATCATCTCCTTTAGCTAGGAATGTGGGGGGGAGGGGAGGAACAAGCTTGGCCACACCCACTTAAAGGGCGGAACTCCAGGCAGAATTCCTTAAGTAACAGAAATAATTCTTTTTTTTTTTTTTTTGAGACAAGGTTTCTCTGTGTAGCCCTGGCTACACAGAGAACTCAATCTGGAACTCAATCTGTAGACCAGGCTGGCCTCAAACTCACAGAGATCCACCTGCCTCTGCCTCCAGAGTGCCAGGATTAAAGGTGTGAGCCACCATGCCTGGCTAGCATCTTGATTCTACTTTTCTTTTAGACAAATACCATTCTTCCTATTTAAAATAAGCCGGGTGGTGGGGTGGGGGGTAGGTGGGACACACCTTTAACCCCAAGGAGGAGGAGGAAGCAGTGACCCAGCTGTTGCCAGCTGCACTGGACATTCAGGAAGCAGAGGCAGGTGTCTCTCAGTGAGTTTGAGGCCAGCCTGACCCTCAAAGCGAGTTCCAGGACAGCCAAGGCTACACAGAGAAACCCTGTCTTGAAAAAACAATTAATAATAATAAATAGGTGCTGAAAAGACTGTTCAGCGGTTAGAGCACTGGCTGCTCTTCTAGAGGACCTGGGTTTGATTCCCAGCACCCAAACGGCAGCTCATAACTAACTGTGACTCCAGTTCCAGGGGATCCAGTACTCTCTTCTGGCCTCTGTGGGCACCAGGCATGTACGTGGTACACAGACATATATGCAGGCAGAACATCTATACACATAAAAAATAAAATTAAAAGTAAACATTTTAAAAATAATACTCATTTGTTCCTTGGAGCCCCTATTCCCAACACTCAACTGACCTCTTAGGTGCACGCCAGCTTGATCCCAAACTGCTTTGGCTCAAACCCTGGCTCGGCCACTTTTTAGCTAAGTGTGATCTTGACAAGTCCTGTGACCTCCTGTGTCTGGGCCTCACCACTGCATTCTTACCCCAACATATTTTAGTGCTAACAAGTGACGCCCTATGTTCTTTGACCTGATTTCTCCATCCTTCTGCCGCCTCCATGAAAGAGTTAAATCAATCTGTGACATGATTTCACCCTACAGTTTATGAGCTCCGTGTTTTTCGGCTCTTTGAAAATCCTTTCGGCTCTTTGGAAATCCTTGTGGGCAGCCGGGGTCTGCACAGGCCCTGGAGCTTCAGTCATGAGGTAGTGCGGCTCTTGGGTTACGTCAGGAGCATCTGTTAGGAAAAGCCGCTACATTCTATTCCAGTAGTGTGAAAAATCTCAGACAGAATGCAGCCAGGAAGAGAGTCAAAGGACAAGGGCTGGGGGAGGGGACAAGGGACAGACAGATGGACTGGACCGATGGACGGGACGGGAGGAGAAGAGGAAGGAGAAACGGTGGTCGGTATGTAAAATAAAGGAAGAAAATGTTATTTAAATAAAAATTTAAAAAACAAGGGCTGAACAGAAACAGTTGGCAGGAACTAAATTTGAAATTAATACCCCAAACAAGCATTAGATACATACATATCCTCTTATCCCTAAAGATGTGATGACTACTTTGTTACCACTCCCTAGCCGCCCCACCCCCACCCCATCCAGGCCTTTTCAGGGGGGCTTCTGGGACCTAAAGCTTTAAGCCAGGGAATGCCCTGGAGGCTGGGAATAGAACAACACGTTAAAAGGAGGTGGGACCAGTGGTCCTCGGGTCTTTTGAGGCTCCAGGCTTGGACTCTAGCCCGAGGACACTCAAGCTGCTATCCCCATCAAGGCCCCAGGGTGGAGCCTGCTGTGGCCCAGCAGCCTGAGACTGCGCTCAGAGTTTCCAGTGCAGCTGGCAACAGCTGGGTCGCTGCTTCCTCCTCCTCCTCAGAAGGAGCCCCTTCCCGAGAACCAGGAGTTCCAGTCTCAGGCCACACCTCTCCTTCCGGCCCACCAGAGTTTGGGATCCAGCAACCCAGAAAGAGATCACTGGGACAAAGGCAGGAAGTCCTTCTGAGCATGAGAAACACCCTTTTCAGAGCAGCTCAGCTCCATGCTCCCCTCCCTCAGGCCCCATCCCTTCTCTGCTGCCCTTCACTCCATTTTTATTTGACTAATTTTTTTTTTTAAGACAGGGTTTCTGGGGCTGGAGAGATGGCTCAGCAGTTAAGAGCACTGACTGCTCTTCCAGAGGACCACAGATTCAATTCCAGCACCCACATGGCAGCTCACAACTGTCTGTAACTCCAGGATCCAGCACACTCACACAGACATATAGATAGATAGATAAAACACCAATAAAATAAATAAGACAGGGTTTCTCTGTATAACAGCCCTGGCTGTCCTGGAACTTATTCTGTAGACCAGGCTGGCTTCGAACTCACACAGATCCACCTGCCTCTGCCTCCTTGGTGCTGGGATTAAAGGCGTGCACCACCTCTGCCTGGCTGTTTGACTGGTTTTTAAAAAGATTTCATTATTTTCGATTACATGTGTCTGTGTGGCTATGTGCCTGTGACTACCTGAGGTGCTTGGCTGCAGTTACAGGCGACTGAGCTGCCCGATGTGGGACCAAACTCCGGTCTTCTTCCAAAGCAGTTTGTGTTCTTAACCACGGAACCATCTTTCCAGGTCCCTGATTTTTTTTTTTTAGACAGGGTCTCATTCTATAGTCCTGGCCCGATGCAGATCCTCCCTCATGTTCCCAGACAGTATGAGCACAGCATGAGCCCCACAGCCAGCTTCTTCCCACTCCAGTTCTGGACTCCTGTCTCCCATCCTACATGCTGACCCTGACTAGTTCCTGGAAGGGCAAATGAAAGCCTCAAAGAACAGGGAAGCCAAATTGAGTTTCTTAGACTAGAATGTCACACCCAGGTAGAGTGCTTGCAGCACACAAGGCCTGTTTGCTGTGCAGCAAAGGACTTTGAACCCCTAACCTTCCTGACTCCATCTCCTGACTGCTGAGATTACAGACATGGACCTCTATGCCCAGTATGAAAACCTTATAGTATTATCTACAATAGCTTCATAGATGGGTACCCTGTGACCCAGCAATACACCCAACATGAATATGTACATATACACACACCAAGGTGTAGGTTTCCAGCACAGTTTGCATTCATAATAGCCACAAACTGGTAATAATGCAAATATTGGCAACAATATGATGGGCGATTGATTCTATAAAGCGACAGGAACAGCTAGTACAGGGCCTGGAGAGGTGGCTCAGCAGTTAAGAGCACTGGCTGCTCCTCCAGAGAACCAGAGTTGGATTCCACGTGGTTCGAACCTGCTTGTAACCCGAGTTCCAGGACATCCACACATGTGGCACATGTAAATTCACACAAGCACATACACATACATATAAATAAAAATATAGCCAGGTATGGTGGTGCATGCCTTTAATTCCAGAACTTGAGATGTAGACACAAGAGGATAAGGAGTTCAAGGACAACCTAGACTATATGATATCCTGTTTTAAACACACACACACACATGCGCACGCACGCACGCACGCACGCACGCGCACACCATAGATAGTAAGTGAATATTTCTTTCAAAGCGTGCGATGGTAAGTGTTAACTGTCAACTTCACAGGATCTGGAATCACCCAGGAGACAGGCACCTGCATGCCTGTTGAGGGCCTTACCCACTATGGGTAGTGCTGTCCCTGGGCTGGGATCCAGGACTACGTTAGCAGAGAAAGGGGGCTGAGTGGCAGCAAGCCCCTGTTCTCCTTCCTTCCTGGGTGTGAGTGTGATGTGACCAGCTGCCTCCAGCCCCTCCATCTGGGCTTCCTCAGCATGACGGACGGTACCTCAAGCTCTGAGACAAGAGCACCCTTTTCTCTCTTAAGCTGATTTTGTCTGAGGCCAACCTAGGATCCATGAGACACTGTCTCAAAACAACAAAGCCAAGAAGGCAACAAGGGAGGATTCTGAGATTCTGTGTCGTGACTAAATATTGTGACTAGGGCAGAAGCACACCGCTACTGCAATGCGAGCTGAGAGCATGCGATGAGAAGCCCGCCATCGCAACCGCGATGCCCCTGGAAGCCTTCCTACCGGGCCCACAACTTACGGCTGACAGAGCTTGACGAGGTCCTGGTCCGTCGTGCCCGGCTGCAGTCCTCGGATATACAGGTTGGTTTTGCTCAGCTGGTCGTTGCCGTTGCCCCCGATGCTGCTGTTGGGGGTGCTGTTCCTCGGACTCGGCGGCGCCATCTGCTGCGACAGTGACACATATGGCTGCGGGGAGACATAAAGGTCAGGTGGTCAGGAAGACTGTACATGTGCGGGGACTGACTCCCTGTAAAACAGGATGCAAAACGTTAGCAGTAATGAACTCTAAAGGGAATAACATGTCCTGAAGTTAGAGGCCTCTATGGCATGTAACACAGATGAATATTTTTGCTTGGGTTCCAAGTCATAATACCTCCAAATAAGAGAAGGTCCACATTGCAGAGTGACAATTCCCCAGTGATTACCCATGAGACCCTCAGGCTATTCCAGTCATTCAATGGATACCTGATCTGCCAATTACATGTAAGCACCGATTGATGCTGTGAGGAAACAGATTTATTAAAATTTATTTATTAAAACGGGTGGGATATTTTACAATGCCTTGTTATTTGTGCAGGTGCCGGGGATTGAACCCAGGCCTTGACTATATGCTAGGCAAGGGCTAAACCTCGGTCTTTTTTACTTTTTATTTTGAAGCATGGGCTATGCCTTCCACTTTCAAAATTCAACTTGGTAAACCAGTGGGTTTTATCTGGGTTACTTCACCCCAGCCCACCCCAGCATAGAACTGGATCCAGAAAGCTGGGCGCCCGGAGCACACGGCACAACCCACAGGTAGCTCAACAGGGGTGGGAGTGGGGGGGGAGTGGGTCTCTTTTCCAGGCAGACTGGTTGGTCTGAGCCTGTTCTGGGCATCTCTTCTTGCTTGAGAACACCTCTTCACTGACCTTACCAATTGTATAAGCCCATGTGAGCTTATTTATACAACCCAGGGTGACCCCAGACTCCTCCTGCGTCTGCCTCGCCAGCTGAGTGTACGATAATGTCCAGCCGTAATATATCTGAATACACTCCCACCAGGAGTTCACAAGTTAGAGCTCACCACCTAGCTCAGAAAAGTGTAAAAACATAGGCTAGTGAGGATCTGAGCAAAATGGCAAAAGAGCAAGAAGGAATAAGTTGCCGAGAGAAGTTCTGAAAAGACGACTATGTTACCCCCGGAAAGGACAAGCAGAAAGAAGAGTAAGCTCAGAAGACAGCTGTGGGGACAACACAGATCACCCCTGCTGACTGGTGCTGTGTCAACCAGAACAAGAGAGTCATCCGGAGAAGTGAGAAAATGACCCCACCACATTGGCCTGTGGGCAAGCCTATGGGGTTTTTTCTTGCTTAAGGATTGATTTGGGAAGACCCAGCAGCCCACTGTGGGTGGTGCCTCCCCTGGGCGCATAGAGCAAGAAAACAGGCTGAGCAAGCCAGTAAGCAACATTCCTCCACGGTCTCTGCTTCAGTTCCTGCCTCCAGGTTCCTGCCCTGACCTCCCTGGATGAAGGTAAAGCTATAAGATGAAATAAACCCCTTTGTGGTTATGGTGTTTTATCATAACAATAGAAACCCTAAGACATAAGTCTTCACACCCATTGAGATGATGATAATAAGAACAACACAGGGGGGGGCAGGTGAGGACATGTACCGAAGCCCTGGGGCACCGCACGGGAGAACGTAAAACAAGGCGGTCATTCTTTGTGTCTGTTCATCTGTTTCAGACAAGGTCCCAGGAAGCCCGGGTTTGGTGTGGGATCAACTTTTTGTATGCTATAAAGATGTGTCTCTGCCTAAGGCACCTTGTGATTGGTTTAATGAAGAGCTGAATGGCCAATAGCTAGGCAGGAGAGACTAGGCAGGACTACACTTCCTGTATTTCAGAAATACAGGACAGAGTAAAGGTAATCGAGCCACGTGGCAGAATATAGATTAATGAAAGCAGGTTAAGTTACAAGAGCTGGTGGGACAAGCCTAAGCTAATGGCCAAGCTTTCATAATTAATATTGTCTCCATGTCATTATTTGTGAGCTGGTGGTCCAAATAAAAGTCTGACTACACAGGCTTGCCTTGCCTGCTTTGCGTATAGCAACTCTGGATGTCTTTGAACTCCTGATCCTCCTGCCTCCGCTTCCCAAGTGCTGGGACTACAGCTGTGCCCCATCATATCCAAATTTTAGTAACAATCCAAAAAGCACCTGTCACGCGTAATTCCATGTGGTCACCTCAACAACTCTGTGCGGAGGGACAGGAAATGTGTTATTTACTCCCCTTTGAAAATTTGGAAACCAGGTATATTGGTTCACACATAAACACATAATTAAAACATAAAAATGAGGGGCTGGGGAGAGATGGCTCAGCAGTTCACACCACTGGCTGCTCTTGCAGAGGACTCAGGATTGATTCCCAGCACCACATGGCAGCCCACAATAGTCTATAACTCTGGTTCCAAGGAATCTATGCCTTTTTCTGGCCTCCTCAGGTACCAAGCATGTACACAGTGCACATACATACATACATACATACATCTAAAAAAAAAATTTTTTTTTTTGAGACAGGGTTTCACTGTGTAGCCTAGAATTCGCTGTTCTGGAATTCACTCTGTAGACCAGGCTGGCCTTAAACTCGCAGAGATCAGCCTGGCTCTGCTAGGATTAAAGGCGTGTGCCACCGATGTTCAATGTCATCCTCAGCTACACAGCAAGTCTGAGGCCAGCCCCAGTGAAACTCATGGGGACACACATGAAATCACAAAGGGGGATGGCTAGGAAGAAGAAAGGGACTAGTGGGTAGTAGATTGTGTGTATGATAGAAATACACTATAGAGATGTATAAAAATGTCATAGTGAGCAGATCTCTGAGTTTGAGACTACCCTGCTCTACAGAGTGAGCTCTAGGACAGGCAGGACTATACAGAGAAACCCTGTCTCGAAAAATAAAAGAAAGAAAGAAGATCCAAATAAGGCAAATGTGCTATGGTCAGCTCTTAGCTAAAGTGTCTTCTATTTTGAAGGAGTGAACTACTAGGGTACCTGTGTGATTAGAGGGTAACTCCCAGGAGTCAATTCGCTCCTTTACCATGTGGGTTCCAGACTCAGGCTTGTGACAAACACCTCACCAGCATTTACCTGCCTTTGAACCCACAGGCTTCCTATCCATCATTTTCTTTTGTAATTTATTAGTTGAAGAAATTGAGTCAGTTGACACATTTAATAACCATTTAAGTATTTACTGTGCAGAAAAGAATGTCGCCCAACATGGGGCACCTACATCCACTAAGACCTGAGAAAGCTTTAAAAAGGTTCTAAACACACAAAAAATGGAGCCAGATGTGGCTTCCTAGTCTCGTGTCTCTCATGCTGGCTGCAGTACCCAGGCTCATCTCCTGGCAGCTGCCAGCACACCATGAGCTAAGCCAAGTGGCTCATACACAGGCTGCAGTACAGAGAGGCCTCTCCCAGCCGCTGCTGCAGGCTTGAACCACCAGGGGAGCTCCTCCGGCGCACTACATGGCGGGTTTGGGGTTTTGCTCATGCAGACAGAAAGGTTACAGATCCATAAAGACAGATCCAGACAGAAAAAATCTCTAAACAGGTTACAGTGTGTTTAAAAATGTACAAAGGCTTGTGTGTGTGTGTGGGGGGGTATAGACAGTCATAAAATATATAAATATAGTTTTAAAACAATAAAGTCCTTAAAAGGAAGTAATATAGAAGAAAAAAGCCACCGGGTCGTGGTGGTGGTGGTGGTGGTGGTGGTGGTGGTGGTGGTGGTGGTGGCGCACGCCTTTAATCCCAGCACTCAGGAGGCAGAGTCAGGCAGATCTCTGTGAGTTCAGGGGCAGCCTGGGCTACAGAGCGAGATCCAGGACAGGCACCAAAACTACACAGAGAAACTCTGTCTCGACAAACCAAAAAACAAAAAAAAAAAAAAAATGTAATATATAATTAAGAAATACAGTTAATAGTCATCTATAGTAGTCAAACTTATAGTCATGTTAGGTATGTTTTCAAGGACATAAACAGATATATTTAAATAGATAGATGGCCTTAAAACACTTCAAAGAACTACAGAAAATGGCATTTAAAATGTTTTAGTAATATAGGGCTTTTTATGACAATGAGACATGTCTGCTCCTGGCAGCACCAATCTACTTCAGAGAAGATGATGGGCATTGAAGAAACTCCATATGGAGTTTACTCTCTTTGTGGCAAAAGTTAGCCACTGGGCAAGAAACTGCCCTTGCCTCGACTGCTGACAGTATGTTGTCCAAACTGGACCAGCAGTACGAAAAAGAAAGTGACTGCCAAACTTTGCCAAGACAAGGTAGGTAGGGCAGTCCTTCAAAATTCCCTGCTTCTCAGAAATGTCTGTCAGATATTCTAGACCTGTAGGCCAAAGATGGATGCCCCAAGGTTATAGAAGAACTTTGGGTGACTGTCCAGGCAGCCAGATGTCCCTGTCATTAGGTAACATTTCACCCTTCTGGGGTCTTCAATGGAGTTAAAGTCTAAGTTTTCCTTAATTATGAAAAAAAAAATTAGGTATAAAACTTTAGACTCACAAGGATAAGATAGATAGTATTTTCTCTAAATTTGCCAAATACAAATGGACTGGATATTGTAATTGTAATTCTTATTTAATAACTGTTTTTGTTGTATATAATTTTACTATGTTAAGGGCTGGAGAGATGGCTCAGCGGTTAAGAGCACTGGCTGCTCTTCCAAAGGTCCTGAATTCAATTCCCAGCAACCACATGGTGGCTCACAACCATCTGTAAAGAGATCTGGTGCCCTCTTCTGGCCTGTAGGGATTCATGCAAGCAGAGCACTGTATATATAATAAATAAATAAATCTTTAAAAAATAATAATAATAATTTTACTATGTTAAAATTAAAACCTTCCTTTTTCGTTTAGACAAAAAGGGGGAAATGTGGAATATTACTTTATACTATGTGAATATATGTTGCTGTGATTGGTTTAATAAAGAAGCTGATTGGCCAATAGCTAGACAGGAGAACCAGACTAAGGACACTGGAAGAAGGTCGGAGTCAGAGGAGTCACCAGCAAGACTCAGAGAGGAAGCAGGAAGTGCGAGATGAAAGGGAGGTAACGCCACATGGGAAAATGTAGATTAATAGAAATGGGTTAATTTAAAATATAAGAGCTAGTTAGTAATAAGC